GTTTAGGTTAGTTAGGCCTTTTCCAACCTGGTGCCCCACTGCCCCACCCTCCCATAATCCCCCCATCTAGCATGAGTAGAAATTGGATTTGGAAGGGGTCCTTAGCAACCAATCATCATTCCTATCTTTCAGCATTGTCTTTCATCTCAAAATAGGATATTGAAAGCATGAAAAAAGATATAATCTATTCCCACAGGAGATCCAATAACAGTCTATGAAAGCCTACTGGCAACCAGTGCAGCTCCCATACATTTGTTGTATTCCATTGAAGAATTTTTTCCAGAGAGCATGCAAATAATTGCAGTTTGCACCCTACCCCATAAAACTTCAAAGGCGCAATCATTAGTATATATTTTTTTAAAAAAATAGCATTTTGTTGGTTTATTTTGAAAATAGTACCTGTGGTTACATCATTTTTTTATTAATATAACTCACCAGTGTTGGTTGGCACCTTCTACTCATTAACAATCAGAGAGTCATCACAATCTGATCCCTGATGAATACCAATAAAATGCTAACACTTTGTTACTGAAGAGAGAAAAAAAGAAACTATAGGAATCTATGTCCCAAAGATGCTTTTTCACAAGGCAACTGGACTTTCTTGTTTTTTCCTCTGAAGACATTTTGCTCTGATGAAGCTGAAGAAGCTTCTTGGATGAGAAGTGAAAAGTCTTCAAAGGAAAAACAAGAAAGTCCAGTTGCCTCGTGAAAAAGCATCTTCGAGACAACTATGACCTGGATGACTGAGAATCTCCATAGACATGCAGGAATCTATAAAAAAGATGTTGAGACTCTGGAAAGAGTGCAGAAAAGAGCAACAAAGATGATTAGGGACTGGAGATTAAGACATATGAAGCATGGTTGCAGGAACTGGGTATGTCTAATTTGGTGAAAAGAAGGACTAGGGGTGATATGATAGTAGTGTTCTGGTATTTGAGGGGCTGTCACGAAGATGAAGGAGGCAAACTACTTATCAAAGCATCAGAAGGCAAGACAAGAACCAATGGATGAAAACCAATCTAGGAGAGAAGCAACCTAGAACTAAGGAGAAATTTCCTAACAGTGAGAACAATCAACTAGTGGAATGCCTTGCTTTCAGAAGTTGAAGGTGTCCCATCACTGGAGGTCTTCAAGAAAAGACTGGACAGCTACTTGTCTGAAATGGTATAGAGAAGGGGTAGGCAACCTTGGCTCTTTTATGACTCGTGGACTTCAACTCCCAGAATTCCTGTGCCATCCATGCTGGCTCAGGAATTCTGGGAGTTGAAGTCCACGAGTCATAAAAGAGCCAAGGTTGCCTACCCCTGGTATAGAATCTCCTGCTTGTGTAGGGAGTTGGACTAGATGTCCTCCAAGGTCTCTTCCAACTCTGTTATTCTATTTTCTATGAATTCCAGTCAATCATTCTTTATTACTAGGATAGAGGAATATTTGGTATTTTCTTATTTCATATGACCAAATATTTAATTTTCCTGAAAAAATCAATATGCAGATGCACAACAGTTAGAACAATCAAAATGGGACCAAACCATGAGGACCAAAAAAGGTTGTGATAAGAATATATTTTTATCTATTCTATCACATATACATACAGAAGATCCAAGGACTCTAATTCTGGGATGGATGGATGGATGGATGGATGGATGGATGGATGGATGGATGGATGGATTCTTCATACTGTTTTTCTTTGTTACAACTTCGTTAGACATCATATCTTTGTTTGTAAGAGCATCCAGATGATTGATGATGTTAACAATGGATAATAGTTGATGGTTCCAAACCACAGAGAATTAAACTGGTACTTCCATTAAGTAGGTAAACATGAACATGAATACTGGAACATGATACTCCTTAACTAAGTAATTGGCTATATAGCAAACTGCACAAACCTTAAAGCTACATGAGAATATTTTAAGAGGAGATTTTTAAACTGATACTTTAAATGGCATGTATCATTTCTGTATGGAAAAAATGGTCAACTACATTAAGCAAAAAAAATAATAATAGGAATGTAGAGTACATTCTTCCAGTGTCTTTTTCACTGAGTGTACAGACAAAGCAGAAAGAAAGCGACAGATTGATTTTTCCATTTATAACAAGCCTTTCTATATTGTTATTAAGACATTTTTCTATGCAGCAAGCTATATCTTCTAAGACACCACAGCTCTAAGCCATAGACATTCATCACTGATGTGAAAGACTATCAAATGTATTTTGTAAGTATAAGTGCATTTTGTCACTTGAATCTGTCTTACCTGTTTCAACAGGAATATTTAAAAAATATTTTTGCAGCTTACTTGAGTTCAACTATTTCTTACAGATTCCTTCCATAGTAGCTTTAATCAGACAGTGTGCAAAACCTATGCCCTAAAATTATTCTATACTTTCCTGATTTAATTGGGAAACATTTTCAGCAAAAGAAATCTATAAGCAGCATTTGTTTCTCCCCGAATTACTCAGCACTTAGCAATAGAAGTTTTCAGATCAGATCTATTTGTTCTTGATGACATCTAGCTGGATTATAAAAATGCATTTTATTCAGTTTTTTTATTTCCTAGAAAAAGTTCTCACCAGAGGTCAAAGTATAAGTGATATAACCAATGCCACATAGTATTTGTTTGTCATCCTAGATAAGAATTCTATGTCCTTATATCACTCTCTTCTAACCTGTTTCTCTCCAGAAGCTCTAGACTCCAACTCTCATTTTCTCTTTATGATGGGACTGGAATTTGACACATATGGAGGAAATTAAAAACTAGAAATCTGACACATATGTAAGAAGAATGGGGGGAAATGCCTTATGTGCTTTATATTGAGCACACTCTGTTAAAACTCAGAAATCTCACCATGGTTAAATCTATTATACAACTTTCCTAACATCAGTGCTTATTCAGATTCAATGCAGAGTCAGGACAGCTGGCTTAGTATATTTCAGTCAATAAGACCAGCAAAGCAGACTGAAGACAAATCACAAGCTGATGTTTCCAAACAACCATAAATATGCAAGATGAGTCTGAGGACTCCTGGCCAAATATAAAGGACAAGGACCGGGAGGATGAGATGTGGTTTTTATATATATTATATTTCTGAGATGAGACAGGGCTTTACTGCAGCAAAGAGTTGCCTTCTTTCAAATAAACACATACAGAATGTTAAGTATCAGCATAAGGATTTGAAAATGTAGCTAGCATTCCCATATAAAGGAGATGATCCAGTTGTATGCCATATAGGCTTTCTGGAACATAGAATTATAAAAATATTTGCAGGACAAAGCCTGAATGAGAAACTAAATATCAGCTCAATTTCTATTACCCATGCAAGGCAATTAAAAAAAAGTAATAATTATAGAGCGAAACGGGGGCGTTTGAATCAAAGTCTTCAGCTTCGTGTCATGTTGCATTATACATTCTGACTGGAAGACTGGGCTTTCATCAGAATACTATAACTCGGGATTTCCATTGTACACTAGGTGAGAAGAGCTCGTATATATTCTGAATATTATACTGAAGCAGGACTTTAGTAGAGACTACGTGGTGCCCCAGGAAATCTAGTTTTTCCTCAGTAAAGCAAATCTAACATCAAGCTGGAGCTCATAAATAGATGGATTTCTTCCCTGAAACCCTCTTTAATTTGTAGGGTTTTTTTTTTTTTAATTTCTAAATGTTGGTTGTTACTGTGGCAAATATATGCTCTCTTAAATAAACCAAGAACCACTTATGCCGTTTTTCTTTTTTACTTCTGCTGAGAAATAACTCATGTCAGGAAGAATTTTTTTCTTCTTTGCTTGAACTACATACCGATGGGATAGTGGATGGATATTAGGGGAGACACAGATTTTCTCTGGGGAAAAATGTTACGTGTTTAGTGTCAGATGTTGCTATCTTTGGCGAAAGCGTGAGAAGAAAGGTTGCTTCTTCCCTGCAGTTGTCTCAGCTTGTTCTGTTACAATGAGGGCTGGCTTGAATCCATCTATTAGACCTCAGATGCCCCTGGCCAGTTCCTCACTGGTAATTTATAGCACCTTCCATCATCATCCAGCCATCCTGTTGCTGATGTATCTAGAACAATTAACCAGTGGAACAACCTGCCTCCAGAAGCGGTGAATGCTCCAACACTGGAAGTTTTTAAGAAGAGACTGGACAGCCATTTGTCTGAAATGGTGTAGGGTTTCCTGCCTGAGCAGGGGGTTGGACTAGATGACCTCCAAGGTCCCTTCCAACTTTTATTATTATTATTATTATTATTATTATTATTATTATTATTATTATTATTATTATTATGAGACTGGACAGCCATTTGTCTGAAATGGTATAGGGTTTCCTGCCTGAGCAGGGGGTTGGATTAGATGACCTCCAACGTCCCTTCCAACTTTATTATTACTATTACTATTACTATTATTATTATGAAGATGGGCTTTCTTCTCACTACAGTGATGTTCAGGTTGATGTTAGAAGATTCTATAAATTGCCTGTGAAGAGGAAATGACCTGGGTGCCTCAAATGCAATGCGACATGAAACCTAGACTTTAATCCCTTTCCCACTTAGGCAATTCCCATCAGAATCTGAGGTTTGTAGAAGGAGACAGTAGAAATGCAGAATCTCTCTGACTTGCCGCTCCCTTCTTCTTCAGTCCTAGGGCCTGCTTTCTGCTAGAGCGGCAAATTCAAAGGCACAGTTCAGGAATGTTTCAGAAGGTGTCCCCAAACGTTGAAGGTCTTCCATCGGAAACTCTCACACAATAAAACCGGAGATCAGGCTGAACCGAGAGCATACATAGCCAGACGGAGTCAAGTCTTCTCCAGCTGCCTGACCAACAATATAGTTCCCGCCTCTCTCTCCCGACGCCTCCTGTTGAAAGAAACTAGGCGGATTGCACGCCCACACTCCTAGTTCACTGCAATCTCTACCTGATCGTTCCTTTTCCAGGTGATTCCGCTCAGCATCCTCTTGCTGGCATCTGCCTCTCTTGGTGCTGCATTAGGACCCAGAGAGAACTGCTCTATTCCTGGCCCAGTGCGCCTGCGCGAAGTGTCCAGAGACCGAACTAGCCGGATTAGCGGCAAGAACGACGGCGGCAGAGGCGGCAGCACCAGCACCGTGTTCCCTGGCACAGAGCCTTCAGCACCACTTGCCAGATCTTTTGTGCAGCGGGCGCGTGAGAGGGAAGAACAGAGGGAGAGCGAGGGCAAGACGCGCCGATCTTCCGTCTCTCCACAGCACAACCCACCTGCGGCTTCAGCATCGCTCAACCTGCCTAAATCGCCGGCTCCATCCAGCCTGTTGTGAAGGCGGAATAAAGATGCCCTCGCCTTGATTTATTCCGGCCACCCAGTCCCCCCATCTCGTTCCACCTTCGGCTTCAGGACAGATAGAAGTCGGCCAAATCACCTCTCTCTCTTTCTCTCTCTCCCTCTCCTCGAGAGGCGCTTCCTTGGCGAAGGAATCGAGCGCTGTCCATTCAGCACCACGCGATCGTAAAGCCTTGCGCTTCTGGCGCCTTTCTTCGATCGATCCCCGGAGGGGCCCTCGAGCGGCGTAAGCTACAGGCGCGAGGGCCTCTTTTTGGGCTGCTGCGAAGTGTGAACTGCATCAGCAGGGAGGGCGCCAAAGAAGACACGGAGAGGGAAAGCGAATTTCGTGATCTTTTCTTTCAGCTGGGGAATGGTTAGCTACGTCTTCCCCCACCCCAATATATTAGCTATTGCTTCATCATCGCCATCGTTTCTTTAGCGCCTTTGAATTTCACGTGCTCGCTGAATTTCTGTTCTGAAAAAAAAAAAAAAAATCGACGCCGGTATTCAGCTTGCTATGTGTTGAGCTCTTCTGAAGAGCTGCCTCTTGCGCCTGCCTCTGCCTCTAGGACTGAGGTACAGAAGGAATTTTGTTCTGCATTTTCAGGGGATCTGGTCTGATTGCTGCTGCTGAGCATCGGTATATGCCCTTTCTTCCTCGCACTGTATTGTGTGTCTGTGTGAGCGTATGTGTGGGTTGTGTCTGTAAAACCCTATTTCACTGCCCTCAGTCTCTTGTTGCAGGCCCCTATCACCACCCTTTGCATCTTCTTTGTAGGTCAGCAGTGTGGCATTGGAGGTATTAATTGCCACAGCCCAGCAAGGAAGCAATCTTCCTCACGCACAACCATACTTACCTCCCTAACGAAACACCCCTCACAATCTTTGTTCTTGGAAGGAGCCTTTCATCAGCATATTCTATTTATAGGCACCTGCATCTTACATCTTACATCTAGGAGCACGCTGGCTTCCGAATAAAGAAGTTGAATCTGCCATCATTAACTTTCACTGGTACTCTTGATTTTGCATCACTTGCTGTGAAGGATATAAGTGGCTAAGAACAGTGGGCGTCTCTTGCCCGCATGTCTAAGGTATCAAGTTAGTTACTGATTGCAGATGAGCAGCCACCCCTTATGAGCTTGCTGTGTGTTGTGCTTGCTTGGATGATTCCACGACATGCCTAATAAGAGACGAGATGGGCCAGGGTGATGAAAGTGATCGTATTGTGATCAATGTGGGAGGGACTAGGCACCAGACTTACCGCAGCACCTTACGCACCTTGCCTGGCACCCGGCTGGCCTGGATCGCTGAGCCAGATGCCCACAGTCACTTTGACTATGACCCCCGTGCAGATGAATTCTTCTTCGATCGGCACCCAGGTGTCTTTGCCCACATCCTGAACTATTACCGAACAGGTAAGCTGCATTGCCCAGCAGATGTGTGTGGACCTCTGTATGAGGAGGAGCTAGCCTTCTGGGGCATTGATGAAACAGATGTGGAGCCTTGTTGCTGGATGACCTATAGGCAGCATCGTGATGCTGAAGAGGCCCTGGACAGTTTTGGTGGAGCACCCCTGGATAACAGTGCTGATGATGGAGATGCAGATGGCACAGGAGACTCAGGTGATGGTGAAGAGGAGCTGGAGATGACCAAACGCCTGGCCCTGAGTGATTCCCCAGATGGAAGGCCAGGGGGCTTTTGGAAGAGGTGGCACCCTCGGATTTGGGCACTCTTTGAGGATCCCTATTCCTCCAGATATGCAAGGGTAAGCCATACAAGTCAAAACCCAGACTAGTTGTTTCCAGGCCCTTTAAGGAGGTTTTTAATTTGGTGTTTCTTGATCCCTATTTGTATTTCATGTCCTGCATGTTCTTGCATATATTGTACTTAAAGACAGACAAGGAACAATATTGCCTGTGAGACACACAAAGCCAGCCTTTTGGAACGAGGGCAGATATAATGGCACTTTTCTTTTTCTTTTTTTGGTCTGTGAGGAGAAAAAAACATTCCAACAAGTCAAAATCCCACCAAAAAAGAGACACCTTCCCACATGCTTACAAGTAATTGCCTAGAACATGTCTTGTGTCAGGATTCCTCTTTAACTTCCATTCCATTTTTTTTCCATTCAACAAGATGAAGAGAAATTCATTACTAAAGCTTCTTAATAGAAGACCTGTGTCTTAAAGTTTTTGTTGTTTTTCAATGAGCTGCAAGGGCACTTTGATCTGATTTCCAAGACAGATGGCAGACACAATGCTCCAGATTTATTCTCTATAGTTATCACATTTTCGTTAGGCTAAAGCAACTCGTATCAAGATATGCGTGTAAACAATTATTTCACTGTAGGGCAAGATGACTATTCTACCTTCTGCTCACCAACAGTTGCAAGCAACAGAAAATAAATGTTATACTCAGCTTATCACTGGGATTGTGATCGTGTTAGGCAAAGGTTTGTCAGACTAGATATATATGGTGTTGTGAGGAAACACTCTTTTGTGCTAAAATGAGAAAAGATTTTTGCTTTCTTTGATGTCATCAAAATACATATTGACGTCACTGGAGGCTGGCTCAATCACATGCAGCTCTTGCTGCATGAAATGTGGAGAGAATGGATTAATGGTTGCAGGAAAAATAGGGTTAATTTTAGTATCTTTATGGCTGTACGTGTACATAGCCACATACTTCACACATAAATGAAAAGCCACATTTATTCATCTATTCTTGGCATTTCTGCATTTTCCTTATGCATTATATGATCGTTCCCCCCTCCCTCCTACTGAAGTATGTTTATTGGTGTCTGTCTGTATGTATGCCCATGCATGCATACAAAGAACTAATTCATTGCTTGATTGATATTTTCCATCTGGAGAAGGCTCTAAAGCAATTCAAAAGCAATTGTTGATTATCTGAAGATGAACAGAAAATTTGACGGGAACAACAAAATGAATTATTGGGTACATCAAAACATTTTTGTTATTTACTGGAAGTATTTTGCTCAGCCAATATCTCAGAATAACTGGGGTGGTGCCAGGTTGGCAAAAGAATAAATGAGATGTTCTGTCTGGAAGCAAGTTCTGAGATGCTTTCTACACTCTCTTGTAGGTGACATTGTTTTTGCTGTGTAGTCTTCTGAGATTTCCCCACTGAATTTAGTGAGTTGAAAGCAGCGAATCTTTAAATAGTTGAGGAAAAGATTAATTAAATATTTACTCCATCATAAAAGCAAAAAATGTTATAGACCAGCAACTTTTGAGTCCTAGTTGTCTTTCCCAGGAGAGTGTGACAGTATGGAAGCCAAGCTGAGGGCTTCTTCAGGTGAATCTTTCTGGCTCTGAGCAAAAAATATAGACATAAATTGGTTTCTGGAAAATCTATCCAAAGCCTTGCCTCTCTGGAGCTGCTAAATTACGCATATGCATCAAGATCAGAGGCCTCCTAATCTAATTTGCCATTATTTATAGAAAGATCAAATTCAATGCATTTGAGGAGAAACTCTAGTTGATTGCTAAAGCTCATGCTTTGTATGCAGAGCGCTGCGTTCCTAGCAGCTTCAGTTAAAATTGTCTCAGAGATTCTGGAGGCCCAGCTGGAGTACAGGTAATCTTCGACTTACAACCTCAATCGACCCACCAACATTTCTGTTGCTAAGCAAGACAGTTGTTAAATGAGTTTTGTCCCAGTTTACAACATTTCCTGCCACGGTTGTTAGGTGAGTCCCTGCAGCTGTTAAGTAAGTCACATGGTTGTCAGAAAGTCACAAAAAGTGATCACTCAACCCCGGTACTCCGCAACCGTCCTAAATATGAGTCAGTTGCCAAGTGTTTGGATTTTGATCAAGTGACCATGAGGATGCTGCAATGATCATGAGTGTGAAAACCGGTCATAAGTCACTTTTTTCTATGCCGTGGGTAACTTCAAATGGTCACTAAATGAACTGTTGTAAGTTGAGGACTACCTGTAGAAGGCAAAGTGGAAAGCATAAGTGAAAGTTCAAGTCACTAAAGGTTTAAGAGAATCAGCAGAGGAGCTGTGGTCTATAATATGCATTTTTTTTGTGTGTGTTGCCTGCATCAGTTTTGGGAGTACATGTTCTGGAATTCTATTGTCTATTCCTTTGATATGCACGTGCTTTGATTTCTTCTGCTAATAGACCCAAGCTATGTGTATAGATAGTTCTCATAACATTATTAACATACAGGTTTTGCAAAGTTTCTGTAAAAGTATAAATGTCCATGCAGACATTTATTGTAGCTGAGTCTGTCCTATATGTTCACATGCTACCCATTGAAGATATAGTAATGGACACTTAACAATACCGTGTACCATACAAAAATCAATCAATGAAAATGTATATAAGAGAATTCTTGGATATATGGTATTATAGTTTATAAGCAACATAGATCAGACATGTCAAACTTGCGATGTCACATGACATCGTGCAACGTATTGGAGCTTTTTTGCCATTGCTGGCAGTGGGGTGGGCATGGTTTCCCAATGACACGTCCGGCCCATGGGCTGACACTTTGACACCCCTGACATAGATTAACAAATCTCAACCTACCTAAAATGTCATTAAAGGAAACTCATGTAAATTATTTTTAAAACATAAAGCATAAAAGATAAAACATTCATCTAACAAAGAGTCTTCCAAAAGTATTAGCAATATCAATAGCACTTAGACTTATATACCACTTCATAGTACTTTTACAGCCCTTTCTAAGCGGTTACAGAGTCAGCATATTGACCCCAACAATCTGTGTCCTCATTTTACCGACCTTGGAAGGATGGAAGGCTGAGTCAACCTTGATCTGGTCAGGATCGAGCTGCCAGCATATTCAGCAGAATTAAACTGCAATATTGCATTCTAACCATTCGGCCGCCACAATAATCCGCTGTTATATTTTTCCAATATTTGCATTTTTATTACAGTTTACATGCGTTTTAATCATGATTATATATTTAGCTGTAACCAATTTCCAAATGATACCCATATAATTGTTCAGATGAAATTCAAATCTACAAAGTCTCTAGAGCTCAATAGGTTCTGAAGCCTTTTAGATACCTGCAAGGAAGCATCTTCTCTATGTTTAGAGTTCACGGTATTTCTTATGCTGTGGAATTGTCTACAGTAAGTCCAAGGAAGAAATATTAAAGTGCATGAAGCATAGCTATAGTAGTAATCATCATCATTATATTCATCTGATATTGAATGAAATGATGTAGCTTCATCCAGGCTAAAAAAGAATGAATCCTCATTATACTTCTTTCCAGTATAATCTGCATTATATACTGCTCAAAAAAATAAAGGGAACACAAACGTATAGGATCCTATATGTTTGTGTTCCCTTTATTTTTTTGAGCAGTATATATTCATATGCAGAAAGCAGAATGTCTTGACGTTTCATTATTGACTTTCTGCAATGGATTCATCAGTGGGGGAACCACCTGTCTCACCCCCTCATATTAGATAATCAAAACAAAATGTTTAAGTTGAAAAACTGTTATACAAGTGTACAGGCTTGTTCTGGGGTGGGGGGTGGGGAACAGTTCCTGGTCAATGTAATCTGAGACATTAAGGATTTAATTTTAAAGGTTTGAATGTATTACTGATTTAATTTAAAACCTTACATAATAGATTTCATTTTAATATCAGAGTATGTGTTACAAACTGATGACTAAAATGTTTAGCATTAAATAGATATGCTAAAAAAAACCCTAGGAAACTACATTCTACCTCATTCTACCTACAGTCACCTTCTTCTTCCTGATATACAGGCCAGCTTTGCTCCTATGGGCTGATTAGACCAAGTGATCAAGAAATAGTTACTGTTCCTAGAAGTTGATGGAAATGCAGGAAAGGAAACTTAGGAAAACATGGATTAGCTAGTAGTATCCTAAATATTGTAATTGCATCCCTTAGCTGTTTTCTTTGTTGCACATTCCTCTTATACTAAAAATAGAAGCATTGGGATCAATTGTTGTAGCCATGGTAAAGTACCTACATTGATAAGACCAATATCAGGAGGCATAATAAGACACATTCCAGGATCCCCCGCCTCCTTAATTTGATCATCCTCCTTATTGACTGTTTGTCCTGTCTCCATCATTCTACTTTTTTGGCTTGTGCTGCAAGCAAAGTCTCTTCCTTCCCCTTGACCACTGCCCAAAACACCTGGCCATCCACACTTGCCTTGGGAGTAGGGCAGAGTGCACAGACTGGAAATCCTGCATCAGCACTTCCTAGCTAAATTAAATAGATTTCAGGTCAATCTTAGCAAAAATGAGCAGCTTTGGGTTTTAGGACTTCCCTGGATCCTGAGATTTTTTTCCCCCCCATCTCTTGTTCTGGGGAGAACTACTTCAAGGAGAAATGGGGCACAATGTGATTGGTCCTCGTGGGTTTGCAGCTCCTGTTCAAGGATAGATGGCAGCTATGGTCAGGAGGGCTTTCGCACAACTGGCACAATGTGCCAGATTTACCAGGAAGCACTGCTCGTGGTCACTCATGCTTTGATCATCTCCTGAGTGGTTTTATTCCAATGTTGCAAGCCCTCCAAAGCAGACTCAACTAGAAAACCAAAGTTGTGAATGCTAACACCACGTTTACAATCAAGAAATAGAATCTCACAAATTTGAATGACCTTCCCCCTCCCTCCTTCTTCTTGAGAACTCTTTGTCTAAGGTCCTTGCTCAGATTACAGTTTTGCCCTGGATTCAGATTTCTTTTATTTGATTGTTGTCTCAGTGATGGCTTTGCTTTCCATT